CTTCGCAATCATTTAATTATTTTCATAAATAATAAAATCCTTTTTAGAAATTCAATTAGTTTCATAAATAATAAAACTCGTCGCAGAATTTCAATTATTTTTAATACAATATTAATCGAAATCCTCGAAAAATGTAATTATTTATAAAAATTTTATTAAAATTCTTCAAAAGAATTCAATTATTTAAAAATTCTTGTCAAAATTTCAATTATTTTTAGAAATAATTAAATTCTTCTCCGAAATTCAATTATTTACAAATTTTTTTATAAATTTCTCAGCAATCATTTAATTATTTTCGTAAATAATCAAATTTTTACACGGATTTAATTATTTTCGAAAATAATAAAATACTTTTTAGGAAATCAATTATTTTCATAAATAATAAAACTCATTGCAGAATTTTAATTATTTTTAATACAATTTTAATCAAATACCTCGAAAAATGTAATTATTCTTAAAAATTTTATTAAAATTCGTCAATTATTCAATTATTCAATAAATTTTTTTTTGTATTTAAACAGTTAAATTCTAGTAAAATTTTTTTAAAAAAATTTATTTAAAAATTGATTTAAGTTAACATTTTAGATTATAATTGAATATTAAAAGCGTGAATTTAATTTTTTTTTTAATTATAGCGTGAATTTTTAGAAATAATTGAATTTTGAAAAGGTTTCAAATTAGAATTTTTGAAAATACGGATTTTTTATACAAAAATAAAGAAAGTTTGTGTCTGACTAAAAAATATTTTACTACTGATATTCATATTGTTAGAATAAAAAATTTAAGCCTGACTTAAATAATTTTTTTACTACTGTTAGAAGAATATTATAATTAGCAAAAGTTCTGTCTGACTAAAATAATCTTATACTACTTATTACAATATTAGAAAAAATTATGTCTGACCTCAACACTTTTTTGCTACTGACAAAAATATAATAAAGAAAGGTTGCGTCTGACTAAAAAGTCTTCTACTACTGACAGTAATGTTAGTAAAATAAGGGAAAGTTCTATCTGACTAAAAATTGTTTTACTACTAACGGTAATATTATTAAAAGAAGAAAGTACCGTCAGACTAAATGGCCTTTTTACTACTGTTAGTAATATTATTAATGAATAATTCTATATTTTGATAAAATATTGTTAATAGATATTTAAAAAACTATTTTTAATACTTTTTAAAATTTATTTTCATATTCTTATTTATTTTCATTATTTGCATTTTTACAATTAAAAAAAAAAATATGTTCAATTTAAATTTTTAAAGCTAGTACTATTTAAAACACAATGTTAAACATTATTTTTAAAAATGAAAATGTCAAAAAATCCGATACACGTTAAAGTCAAATTAATCGTTTCACTTAAAGTTTTTGGTATTTAAAATTAAATTATTACATTTTGATATGACGATGTTTTAAAATAGGTCAAGAATCGATTACACATTTTGATATAAAAGCTAAAGAAAAAAAAATTCTCACTATTTTATTATTATTATTATAATCTTTTGAATTAGTGAATAATAATGAAAAGAATTTATAATTACGATGAATAATAGAATTATAGTGATGTAAAATAATAATTTTTTTTTCATTTTAAGACTTTACTGAATTTTAAATTCAGTATAAATAATTAACACTTGTAATATATTTTCAAGTATAAATCTTTTATTATCAAGTTTTTTTTTATAACTTCATTTAACCATTTTTATCACGAGCTTCAATACTAATATTGTACTATTCCTCGAGTGATAATACAAAAGCAGGGAGGCTTTCCGATAATCGACACGGATATAAAGCAATTATGCGTACGAGGGTTAACTATATAACTATCCATTTTAAAAATAGCTCTAATCAACGCATGGAAAAAGTGAAGTTTATTCAAAATAATTATATTTTTCTTAACGAAAAAGAAAAAAAGTAGAAAAAAATTCTTGAATGTAAAATATACAAACAAGAATATATCAACTTTCCAATTAATTTTCCTATCTCTTTTATTATTATTATTATTTTAAAAACCTCTTTTTTAAAAAAATATTTTAATATTAAAAATAAAAAAGAAACTCGTCAATACGATGTACGTGAAATACATAAATAAATACGATATCCATTAAACTAAATGTTTTTTTTTTTTGCTAAAATCATGTTAACCGCAAACAATCATTTTTTTGTTTTATTGAATTTTGAGCAAAACTGTATTTAAAAAAGAAAATAATAATAATAAAAAAAACCTCTTTAGATATTCATCTCGTGTATCCATATCTCTCTATTTTTTAACTCGCACTCCTCACGTTAAATCCATGAAAAAAAAGAAATATGAATAGAAGATAAAACAAGAAAAAAAAAATTGTCATGAAAACGAAAAACCATAAAAGAATATGCCAGAGACTTGAGCATTTCAATTTGTTCAACTGACAAATCGGACTCTAAATCCGGATAAAGTCCAATTCTTATATTTAAATTTATTTTGCAATATACGAAATTGCTACTTTCAATCGGTTTTTGCAAGGGGGAAAAAAAGAGGCGAAGAAAATTTTTTAATGAATAATACTCGGAAATTTACATTTAGAAATTAAAGTTTCAGCATTTTTTTTCTCTTTTTACTTTCTGTCTGACTCTCTCTTTCTCTTTCTCTTTTTCGCTTTTCTCCCTTGAAAACAAAACGATTTTGAAATTGAAAGATGATTTGAATTTTTATGAAAAAATTTATAATAATAAAAAAAGTTGGGAAAAGTAAATAAATAAAAGTAGAGAAAATAAAATTTAAGAAAGTAAATGAAAAAGTCGAGAAAAGGAAATTAGAACTAAATAAGTTAATAAAAACCAGTTAATAAAAAATAAGGAAGTAAATGCAAAAAAAATAAAAAAGTAAATAAATAAAAAGGTATGGAAGATTAAAGAAAAAAATAAAGAAGTAAACAAATTTAAAATGTAAGGAATTTAAAATTATAAAAAATATTTTTTATTTTAATTTATTTGTCTTAAAATAAAATAAAAATACTGTTTAAATTCCTTTTTAAAATTTTATTTTTAAATTACATTTATTTAGAGTTGAATAGTAGAAAAGTATAGAAAAGTAATTAAAAAAGAAGTATATAAAAGTAATGAATTCAAAACAATTAAAAGTATTTTTTTTCTAATCACAACTTATTTCTATTAAACTCAAAAAAAATATTTTTTCAAATTCCTTTTTTAAATTATTTTTCTTTAGAATTACATTTTCTCAATTATTATTAATTGGCTGCAAAAATATTTTGTCATGAAAAAACACAAAAAAATTTGCAAGAATATTTTATCTTAATAAAAAGAAACCCAAAAATTTCCAAAATTATTTTGTCCTAATTAAAAGCACCTCTAAAAATTACTTCAATCAATTTTTAAGAAATTAATTTTTAATTAAAAAAACTTATTATTATAAAAAATCCAAAAAATTTACTATGTTGGGAAATCTTTTTGTAGATTTTTTTTAAATCTTTTTTTTTTTTTTTTTTTTTGAATTTTGTCGATAATTTTTTTTTTGATACTTGAAAAAATCAACTATCTTCTAATTCAAATACTAAGTTCACAAGAATTATGGAACATTCCGTCTCACTGAAAACGTCTTCTACTACTGATAATAAACTTCCTTGAGAGTGTCTGACTAAAACTGACTTTATTCCCCTGTGGGGGAGAAAATTCCACTATCTCGAAAACAGTTGTCTGGTTCGAACTGTCTTTTACTACTGATATAAAAAGGCATTTTAGATAACTTGTGTTCTATCGTAAAAAAAACTACTTTCGTCTACTGATTTCGTCAAAAATTAGGAATTGATGAGAACATTTCAGCAAATACGAAATGTTTTTTGTATTTTCACTTTGTAGTAAATAATTTCAGTGTTAAGTAAAATAGAATCGACTTTTATATTTTGATGAATAAAATAGAATTTTCTTTTTATTTTAATAAATATAATAAAATCGCCTTTATATTGTAATTTCTTTTATAATAATTCGAATATAAAGTATTTACTCTTCTTTTTGTTTCAGGTGAGTAAAACTGCATGTTTCCTGTCGAGTTTATTTCGTAAGTAAATAAACGTTGAAATATATATAATTATATATTATAAGTAGAATATGATTATGAAAGGATGAATTTAAAAACTTTGATTCGTTTAATTAACAACAAATATCAGTTCCGCAGTACTTTCACGGAATTGATAATTAATTAAATAGAAAGAAATTATCGGAAAATATATATTCGTTATGCAATTTTTTTTTAATTATATTTAAAAGCGATTATTTATAAGTGATGTAATCTAAATGTTGTCAATAATTTTTTTTCGTAATTCAATTATTTTTAACTTAATTTGAAAAGTTCCTCTTTTCAAACCGAATTCCTTTTTTTATTAATTAAAACCTCTTTTTTACTTAATATTGTAAAGAAAAAATAAAAAATCACTGTGACCACTGATATTATTTAAAAAAAATTTTGTCTGACTTAAATAATGTTGTACTACTGCACCCAGAGAAAAATTTTATTTTAAACCAAATATAATTTGGTTTAATAAGAATATTACGTAGAATATTTGTCTGAGAGACAACTAAACTATTTTCTTGTTTTTAAATAAAAATTCTATTCACCACAAATAAAACTTTTATTTGAATGAAATAAAATTTTATTTAAATTAAATCAAAATTAGAAATTTTCTATAGAGAAAGAAAGTGAAGTAGAAAATTTGTTTGTCCAAAGAGTACTGATTCTATATCGTAAAAAGTAAAAGTGTCTTTTTCACCTCAATTCTAAATGATAAAGTAGTAAATAAAAGTTAACAAAAAAATGTCGTAAAAAGTGTTTGGAAATATTTTTTTCTAGGCTCTAAATTAATTTTTATCTAATATATAAATTTTCTAATGTCTTCTAATTAAAAAGAACTCGAATCATGGTGAAAAAAGAAATCAGATGTGACTACTCTCGGGATTTAAATTTTTAAAAAGCAAATTGGCGCGAAATTTTTTTCTTCCCAAACTCACCAGCTAAACGCAATGAAGTAGAATTGTTTTTTAAGACAACGCCCACTTTGCGCCTCACTTTTACCGGCGGTAGTTCAAAGTTACCTCAGTTTCCTCCCCCTAAGCACTTAGCATTGAAGGCAAGGAAATAACAGGAAAAATAAAAAAATACGAAAAAAATACCCTTCTCTCTCTATATATGTATATAAGTAGCAAATAAAATCCCTCAAAAAAAAAAAAAAATACTCCAACTTCCGCTAAAACGTTACTCGCTCTCAAAAAAAAAAAAAACCCAAAAGAAAAAATTACGCGACACAAGCAGGAAGGAAGTCGAAAAAAAACGGGTCAAAAAAGAAGTCGAAAAGCAGAGAATGAAAAGCGTTGAAATAGGATATCCCTCTCTTTCTCTCTCTCTATCTCTTTCTATATAACGTAAATGGATCCCCAGTTGGATAAATTTTCAAGAAATCAGAGAACAAACTTTTGCGAATGAAAAAAGTTTTCCGACGTGTGAAATAAGAATGAGTGATATCCGATAGCTGTGGACGCGAAAATGGTTTATAGCGTGTGGTGAAGCGATAATGTGTTCAATTTGATATATAGAATGAAAGAGGGGAAAATGATAAGGATTCTCAACGCGTTACGAGTTGTGAAGGGGATGGGGGGGGGGTGAGATGACGAAAAGAGAGGGGCAAGTGCGGGGTAAAAGCGGCAAAAAAAGGGGGGCGAGAGTTGAGGAAACACGTGCTGCCCAAAAATAAAATAAAAAGAAAAAAGAAATTTATATATATAGACGAAAAAAAAAACCGAGCAGCGTCAGTAGTTCGGAGGGTTTTGTATCGACTGACGAAGCTGAACTGAATAAGGGCGCGTCGTCGTCGTCGACGTCGTCAGCTGCAATGCCACTCCAAGTCCGCGAACCATTCAGAGTCCTCCACTGCCACCTATAATGCTTTACCCCTTCCTTCTAACCAGCATCCAAACCATTCCACCCTACCCTCCCCTCCCCCCCCTCTTTATTCCGTTTACATCGGTGCGAGTATCCGCGGGCGGTTTGGCAAACCACCCCACCCCCCCTCCCACTTATACCCCCTTAAATTCTCGAACCATTGCACGCGGAAAGCTTCTGCGACTTTATATATACGTGAGAGTTGGGACGACTGCTGGATTACAGGACTTTAAGAACTTAAATATATCACTTGTGAATTTACACATAAATCTTGGATGTATTATTGGAGAAAAAAAGAATTATTTCCATTTTTTTCGATTCTTTGAAAAATAGTTGAATTTTTTTCATTAGATAGACGATTTCTTAAGTTTCGGAACTATTGGATAAAGTGTTTTTTTTTTTTTTGAAAATTTGGGGTGATTATTTCTTTCAGCAGTAGGGGGAAAAAGGCTTTTTTTTTCTTTTTAATAAATGAAAAATTACGAGTTTTTCCCTTCAAAGTGGTTATAAATAATTTGATTTTGATTTAGAGACATTTTTGTCATGGGAAAAATTAATTCTGAAAATGGAACACTTACCTTTTTTTGGTGTAAATTTAAACTGCAATACTTTGTAGTAACTTATGGTTTACTGTCCAAGAGATTGAAACTAGTAAGATTGAGATATTGAAACTAGTAGTAAAAGAAATATTTAGTCAGACAAAGATCTTGAGAAAGGGCAGTGTCAGTGGTGAAAGGCAACAACAGTCAGACAAAATGGTTAAAACTGACAACTGAGTATAAGTAGTAACCTGTATATTTGGTCAAAAATAGTAACAAAAAACAAACGAAATGAAAACTCTTATTTTTAGTGAAAATAGTTAATGGTAGCAATAGTCAGACAGACGATAAATGAAAAAATCAGTGCCTAAACTTAGATCTGTATTTGGTCAGAAACTTTTAAATTTTTTCATTACTAGTAAAAGACAATGAGAAAAAAAGAAACAAATGCGAATCAGTAAGCAGTAAATCGTGAGGTATTAAAAAGTGTTGTAGATTAACAGCATGTGACTGTTACAGAAATCAATGTTAATTTTTTCGACCACTTTTCTCTTAAAATATTAAATAAATTAAGCTAGTTTTTTGTGAATAACTTTAAAATATAATAAAGAAGAGCAGTGATGTGCAAAAGTTTTAATAATTCTAAAATAAATTATAAAAAAATACTTTGAAATCGGAAAAGACGAGAAATTGATTAAAAGTGATTTTGAGAACTGATAATTTTAAAGTTATTTTTTAATAAATAATTTTAAAAATATTAAAACTTTTTCACATCACTGCCCTTCTTTATGATATTTTAGAGTTATTCATAAAAAACTAGCTTAATTTATTTAATATTTTAAGAGAAAAGTGGTCGAAAAAATTAACATTGATTTCTGTAACAATCACATGCTGTTAAATTAACACCAAAAAGATGAATGAATAAATGTAATTTTAGTTTATTAAATTTTTTTATAACTATAAAACATAAAACATTTTTATAATAATTAAAAATGACCGACTGATAAAATCTTTTTTTTATACCTATTATAAGAATATTATACTTCTTCAAAATTATTTTCATTACTTCAATTCAATTATTATTTTCAAAAATTTTTAACTACAATTTTACTTTATAATCTATTATTTTTAATAATTTTCGAAAAAGTTCTTTGGCAATTTTCAAATCCATTTGTTTACAATATTCAATTTCACGAAATTTCAATTATTCCTAAATTCTTTAATTAAATGCATATAAGAAAGTAAAAACTTCAAATAATATGAAAGAAAATTCAATTAAACTTTTTAAAAAAAATTAATTTCAAAATTCAATTATTTCTAAAAATTCACGCTATATTGCTTTTAATATTCAATATTATATTATAATCTTAAATTTAAACTGAAATTCATTTTTATGAAATGAAAATCAATTTTTATTAGAAAATTCTACAAGAATTTAATTATCTAAATGTAAAAGAAAATAATTTACCTATTGAAGAATTGAATGTTTCTCAAAATTCAATTCTCATAAAGAATTTTAGTAACAAATTTTTAAATAATTGAATTCTTTTGTCAAATTTTATTAAAAATTGCATGAACATAATTACTTTTTTTCAAGAAATTCAATTATAATTGTATGAAAAATAATTGAAACGCTGCGATGAGTTTTATGAGAATTTTCAAATTGATTCGTTTACAATTCAAATTTAAATAATTTCAATTATTTGGAAATTCTGCAATTAAATATATATTGAAAAACAAAAAATTTGAAATAATTTCAATAAAAATCCTATTAAACTTTTAAAAAGAATTAATTCTACAGAACTGTTTGGCAAAAATATGAAAAATTAAGAATTTCAATGATTTTAGTTTGAAACTTTTTCAAAATTTAATTATTTCTAAGAATCAACGTTATAATGCTTTTAATATTTAATTATAATCTAAAATTTTAACTGAAATTCATTTTTAAAACCATTTTTATTAGTAAATTCTACGAGAATTTAATTATTTAAATACAAAAATAAATAATTTATTAATTTCATGTTTCTTGAAATTAAATTCTCATAAAAAATGTTAACAACAAATTTTTCAAATCATTAAATTCTTTGGACGAATTTTACTAAAATTTTAAAGAATAATGACATTTTTCGAGGAATTCGATTAAAATTGCATTAAAAATAATTGAAATTATGCCAAGAATTATATTAAAAGTTTTGAAAATAATTGAATTCCTAAAAGAATTTTATTATTTATAAAAATAATTGAATCCCTGTAAAAATGTTATTATTTATGAAAATAATAAAATTATTGCGAAGGAATTTAAAAAAAAAATTTGTAAATAATTGAATTCCTGTAAAAAATTTTATTATTTATGAAAATAATTGAATGTTTGCGTAGAATTTTATTCAAATTTTTTTTAATAATGGAATTCTTTTGGAAAATTTTATTGAAATAGTAGATATTCAAAATGATTGAATTTTAGAAAACTTTTGAAAATAATTGAAATTTTGACAAGAATTTGATTAAAATTTTATAAAATAATTGAATATTAGAAAAGAATTTTATTATTGATAAAGAGATTTGAAATTTTTACGAGAATTCTTTTAAATTTTTGAACAAAATTTGAAATTAGTAATTATGTTGCTAACACGGTAAATCGTTAGGTGTTAAAATAACACCAAAATGGATTAAAATAACACTAAATTGGATTATTTTAATCCTTTTTGGTGTTATTTTAATACCTAACGATTTACTGTGAAGTTAGTTAGTAAGTTAGTAACTAAGTTAGTAACCAACTTACTATTCTCCCTGGAGAAGCTAAATTCGTTGAATTTTTACAAATTGTTGACTTGGTGTTTGATTTAAAGTAAAATTTCATTCATAGTTAAAAATAACACCAAAATAGATTATTTTAAATATTTTAATTCTTTCTGGTGTTAATTTAATCCTAGAGGGATTAAACTATTGCAGATTATTTTAATCCATTCTGGTGTTATTTTAACACTTTACGTTTTACTGTGAATTCTAAAAATGGAACACTTATATTTTTTGGTGTAAATTTAAACTGCAATGCTTTGTAATAACTTATGGCTTACTATGTAAGAGATTGAAACTAGTAGTAAAAGAAATATTTAGTCAGACAAAGATCTTAAGAAAGGGCAGTGTCAGTGGTGAAAGGCAACAGCAGTCAGACAAAATGATTAAAACTGAGTATAAGTAGTAACCTGTATATTTGGTCGGACATTTAAAAATTTTTTCAGTAGTAACAGACGGAAAGAAAAAAAAGCAGAATGAGAATTAGTAGTAAGCTATGTATTCAGTCAGACTAAATGAAAATAGTATGAAAAATGAAGTAAATAAAAATCTTGTAAAAATCAGTAGTAAATGATAGCAATAGTCAGGCGAAAGTATAAAAGTAAAAATTAGAAGTAGGATATGTATTTAGTCGGACAATTAAACACTTTTTCAGTACCCAGGTAGAAAAATTTTATGGAAGCCTAGATGTATGCTAGCGCCACCACTGGAATTTGCATGGCAGTTTATCTCGCCGACGTCTTCTAGCGCCTTACATGGCGCGAGCACTTTCCGCTAGAATGCAACATAACCTCAAATTTCTGTTGCATAAAGTGTCGCAAAGGTGTTTGTTTTTATTTTTAAAGTAAAAGTAAATGTTTGCTTGTAGAATATTGTGGCATTTAAAAACAATAATAGTAAAGGATTCTAAGTATTTATATATTTGTAATTGTATCTAATTTAAATATAAATTAATATTGCATTATAAATTTATTGTTCATTCGTTAATTTATACACTTATTTATAAAAGAATTTTTAATATATGAATGTCTTATTCAACCTCCAAGAAAATTTTTAAATATATTTTAAGTAATTAATCTAACGATTTATTACCAAGAATAACAATAAATACTTTTTTATGGATCAAATATATTATTAATTTCTCTCCATTCGAATTAGAAAACATAACCTCAAACTGGATTTATTTTTTCTTTATTTTTAATTGACCTGACAGAAAATATTTACTGATTTTAAATAGGAACTTAATTTTTTCAATTATTATTATTATTACATATTATTATTATAAAAAAATTGGTTAATTTCAAAAATTTTAATTTTAATGTTTAACATGTGTAACTATTTTTGACACTGTTACTCTAAAGAAATAAATAAATTTTTATGGAAATTTAATAATAATTTATTCTTAAAATTTCCATATTTAAAAAACAATTTTATACAGCAAATAATGATCAAAATTATTATTAGGCTTGGGATTAAGAAAAGGTTACCGTTTTCTGAATTAAAATCTTACCATAACTTTAAACGAAACGTGTATTAACTCTTCAAATACGTTAAAACTTCATTGTTGGCAGATAATTAGTAAATGTTTTTTATATGTACACGATTTTTTTAATTATATTCGTCAAAAGAAATGACATAGGAATCATTTTTTAATTCGTGAAATAAAGTATTGGCAGGTGAGGTTATGTTTATTCTAGCACTGCGAGCAGAATGCGAGAAAGGCGCTAGACTACAAAAGTGTTTCAAATGCTCTCAGCGCT